GACATAGAAATGTTCAAAACGCATATTGATACAAAAAGTTTTGGTACAGGGGAATTTTAATGCGCATTTTGATACAAAAAATGCTTAGCCGTGCTTAGCCGTGTTTTAATATACTTTCTTTCGTGACACAGTCAACTAAAACAAGCTAGAAGTTACTATCGCACGGCAAGTGCCGCGTTAAATCCTTGCGAAATTAGACAATATGGAATGAGTAACTTAATCTTTTCGAGCCAGTTTCAACATGGCAATATTTTCTTATACTTGTAAACGGATTTTACACATAGAGGTATAAGAAGAATAAAAAATAGTCAGAATAAATAAAGGAAGAAAATATTGTGAGTCTGCTACAAAACATGAGCTCAACAGCATTTGAACTCAAATGCTTATCGAGACAGGCTAAACGACATACCACTAAGCCATCAGTGGACAATTTGTAATTCTGGTAAAATTAAAAACACAAGTACATTGTTGTGACCTGCTCATCTCATGAGGTGAATCTCATTTCGGGCAAAATGAAAAAAAAATTGCTATAGACCGAATGAGAAAGGTTCAAAACGGATATGATGCAGAAAGTTTTGGCACAGGGGAATTTTAATGCGCATTTATAAATAAATAATGATTAGCCGTGTTTTAATATACTTTCTACTACGCTTAGCCGTTCGCCGGCTTCGTGGATCGACGTGGATCGTGTCAATTAAAACTAGAAGTTACCATCGCAAGGCAAGTGCTGCCTTTTAAAGCAAAGTCTAATTTAGAAAATTTCGGGCCATTTTTCGGTTTAGGTCGACTTAGAAATGTTCAAAACACTTATTGATGCAAAAAGTTTTGGTACAGGGCAATTTTAAAGCGTATTTTGACATAAAAAATGCTTAGCCGTCCTTAGCCGTGTTTTAATATACTTTCTACTAGCTTAGCCGTTCGCCGCCTTCGTGCATCGACTCAACTATAAACTAGAACTTACTATCGCAAGGCAAGTGCTGCGGTTTTAAACCAAAGTCAAACTTAGAAAATTTCGGGCCATTTTTCGGTTTAGATCGACTTAGAAATGTTCAAAACGCATATTGATGCAAAACGTTTTGGTACAGGGGGATTTTAATGCGCATTTTGATATAAAAAATGCTTAGCCGTGTTTTAATATACTTTCTACTACGCTTAGCCGTTCGCCGGCTTCGTGATAGAGTCAACTAAAACTAGAGGTTACTATCGCACGGCAAGTGCCGCGTTAAATCCTTGCGAAATTAGACAATATGGAATGATTAACTTAATCTTTTCGAGCCAGTTTCAACATGGCAATATTTTCTTATACTTGTAAACGGATTTTGCACATAGAGGTATACGAAGAATAAAAAATAGTCAGAATAAATAAAGGAAGAAAATATTGTGAGTCTGCTACAAAACCTGAGCTCAACAGGATTTGAACTCAAATGTTTATCGAGACAGGCTAAACGCCATACCACTAAGCCATCGGTGGACAATTTGTAATTCTGGTAAAATTAACAACACAAGTACATTGTTGTGACCTGCTCATCCCATCAGGTGAATCTCATTTCGTGCAAAATAAAAAAAAATTGTTATAGACCGACAGAGAAAGGTTCAAAACGGATATTGATGCAGAAAGTTTTGGCACAGGGAAATTTAAGTGCGCATTTATAAATAAATAATGCTTAGCCGTGTTTTAATATACTTTCTACTACGCTTAGCCGTTCGCCGGCTTCGTGGATCGACGTGGATCGTGTCAATTAAAACTAGAAGTTACCATCGCAAGGCAAGTGCTGCCTTTTAAAGCAAAGTCTAATATAGAAAATTTCGGGCCATTTTTTGCTTTAGGTCGATTTCGAAATGTTCAAAACACTTATTGATGCAAAAAGTTTTGGTACAGGGCAATTTTAATGCGTATTTTGACATAAAAGATGCTTAGCCGTCCTTAGCCGTGTTTTAATATACTTTCTACTAGCTTAGCCGTTCGCCGGCTTCGTGCATCGACTCAACTATAAACTAGAACTTACTATCGCAAGGCAAGTGCTGCGGTTTTAAACCAAAGTCAAACTTAGAAAATTTCGGGCCATTTTTCGGTTTAGATCGACTAAGAAATGTTAAAACGCATATTGATGCAAAACGTTTTGCTACAGCGGAATTTTAATGCGCATTTTGATATAAAAAATGCTTAGCCGTGTTTTAATATACTTTCTACTACGCTTAGCCGTTCGCCGGCTTCGTGATAGAGTGAACAAAAACAAGAAGTTACTATCGCACGGCAAGTGCCGCGTTAAATCCTTGCGAAATTAGACAATATGGAATGATTAACTTAATCTTTTCGAGCCAGTTTCAACATGGCAATATTTTCTTATACTTGTAAACGGATTTTGCACATAGAGGTATACGAAGAATAAAAAATAGTCAGAATAAATAAAGGAAGAAAATATTGTGAGTCTGCTACAAAACCTGAGTTCAACAGGATTTGAACTCAAATGCTTATCGAGACAGGCTAAACGCCATACCACTAAGCCATCGGTGGACAATTTGTAATTCTGGTAAAATTAAAAACACAAGTACATTGTTGTGACCAGCTCATCTCATCAGGTGAATCTCATTTCGTGCAAAATTAAAAAAAATTGGTATAGACCGACAGAGAAAGGTTCAAAACGGATATTGATGCAGAAAGTTTTGGCACAGGGGAATTTAAGTGCGCATTTATAAATAAATAATGCTTAGCCGTGTTTTAATATACTTTCTACTACGCTTAGCCGTTCGCCGGCTTCGTGATCGAATCAACTATAAACTTAATTCTTGTGAAATTAAACAAGATTAGCTTAATCTCTTCGGACTAGGTTCAACATGGCAATATTTCCTTATACTTGTAAACGGATTTTGCACATAGAGGTATAAAATGAATAAAAAATAGCTAGAATAAATAAAGGGAAAAAATATTGTGAGTCCGCTATAAAACACGAGTTCAACTGGATTTGAACTCAAATGTTTATCGAGACAGGCCAAACGACCTACCACTAAGCCATCAGTGGACGATCTGAAATTCTTGCAAAATTAAAAACAAAAGTAGATTCTTGTGACCTGCTCATAAACCAAAGTCAGACTTTGAAAATTTCGGGGAAATCGAAAAATAATTTTCGATCTAGATCGACTTAGAAAGTTTCAAAACGCATATTGATGCTGAAAGTTTTGGCACATGGAAGTTTTAAAGCGCATTTTGATATAAGAATTGCTAATCCGTCCTTCATTATTCTTTGTACTACGCTAACCCGCTACCCAGATTCTTGACTCAACTAAGCAGAGCTTGTCTTAGAGAATTTCAACCAAAGTTTAACTTAGAAAATTTCGGGCAAATCGAAAAAAAAATTTCGTCATAAATCGACTAAGAAAGGTTCAAAACGCATATTGATGGGAAAGTTTCGGCATAGGGGAATTTTAAAGCGCATTTTGATATAAGAAATGCTAACCCGTCCTGCATTATACTTCGTACTACGCTAAACCGCTACCCGGATTCTACAGTCAAGTAGGCTGAGTTTCTCTTGAAAAATTTCGACCAAAGTTTGACTGACAAACATTTCTTGATATAAATCGACTTGGGATGGTGTAGAACTACTTATTTGTGAAGAAAGTTTTAGCACAGGGGAATTTTAAAGCGCATTTTGATATAAGAAATGCTAACCCGTCCTGCATTATACTTTGTACTACGCTAAACCGCTACCCGGATTCTAGAGTCAAGTAGGCTGAGTTTCTCTTGAAAAATTTCGACCAAATTTTGACTTACAATGCATTTCTTGATATAAATCGACTTGGGATGGTGTACAACTACTTATTTGTGCAGAAAGTTTTAGCAGAGGGGAATTTTAAAGCGCATTTTGATATAAGAAATGCTAACCCGTCCTGCATTATACTTTGTACTACGCTAACCCGCTACCCGGATTCTAGAGTCAAGTAGGCTGAGTTTCTCTTGAAAAATTTCGACCAAATTTTGACTTACAATGCATTTCTTGATATAAATCGACTTGGAATGGTGTAGAACTACTTATTTGTGCAGAAAGTTTTAGCACAGGGGAATTTTAAAGCGCATTTTGATATAAGAAATGCTAACCCGTCCTGCATTATACTTTGTACTACGCTAACCCGCTACCCGGATTCTTGATCGAATCAACTAGAAACTAGAAGTTCCTATCGCAAGACAAGTGCTGATTTATAAACCAAAGTCAAACTTAGAAAATTTCGGGCGAATCGAAAAAAAAATTTCGATCTAGATCGACCTACCAATGTTCAAAACGCATATTGATTTGGCACAGTGGAATTTTAAAGCGCATTTTAATATAAGAAATGCTTAGCCGTGTTTTAATATACTTTCTACTACGCTTAGCCGTTCGCCGGCTTCGCGATAGAGTGAACAAAAACAAGAAGTTACTATCGCACGGCAAGTGCCGCGTTAAATCCTTGCGAAATTAGACAATATGGAATGATTAACTTAATCTTTTCGAGCCAGTTTCAACATGGCAATATTTTCTTATACTTGTAAACGGATTTTGCACATAGAGGTATACGAAGAATAAAAAATAGTCAGAATAAATAAAGGAAGAAAATATTGTGAGTCTGCTACAAAACCTGAGTTCAACAGGATTTGAACTCAAATGCTTATCGAGACAGGCTAAACGCCATACCACTAAGCCATCGGTGGACAATTTGTAATTCTGGTAAAATTAAAAACACAAGTACATTGTTGTGACCTGCTCATCTCATGAGGTGAATCTCATTTCGGGCAAAATGAAAAAAAATTGTTATAGACCGACAGAGAAAGGTTCAAAACGGATATTGATGCAGAAAGTTTTAGCACAGGGGAATTTAAGTGCGCATTTATAAATAAATAATGCTTAGCCGTGTTTTAATATACTTTCTACTACGCTTAGCCGTTCGCCGGCTTCGTGATCGAATCAACTATAAACTTAATTCTTGTGAAATTAAACAAGATTAGCTTAATCTCTTCGGGCTAGGTTCAACATGGCAATATTTCCTTATACTTGTAAACGGATTTTGCAAATAGAGGTATAAAATGAATAAAAAATAGCTAGAATAAATAAAGGGAAAAAATATTGTGAGTCCGCTATAAAACACGAGTTCAACTGGATTTGAACTCAAATGTTTATCGAGACAGGCCAAACGACCTACCATTAAGCCATCAGTGGACGATCTGAAATTCTTGCAAAATTAAAAACAAAAGTAGATTGTTGTGACCTGCTCATAAACCAAAGTCAGACTTTGAAAATTTCGGGGAAATCGAAAAATAATTTTCGATCTAGATCGACTTAGAAAGTTTCAAAACGCATATTGATGCTGAAAGTTTTGGCACATGGAAGTTTTAAAGCGCATTTTGATATAAGAATTGCTAATCCGTCCTTCATTATTCTTTGTACTACGCTAACCCGCTACCCAGATTCTTGACTCAACTAAGCAGAGCTTGTCTTAGAGAATTTCAACCAAAGTTTAACTTAGAAAATTTCGGGCAAATCGAAAAAAAAATTTCGTCATAAATCGACTAAGAAAGGTTCAAAACGCATATTGATGGGAAAGTTTCGGCATAGGGGAATTTTAAAGCGCATTTTGATATAAGAAATGGTAACCCGTCCTGCATATACTTCGTACTACGCTAACCCGCTACCCGGATTCTAGAGTCAAGTAGGCTGAGTTTCTCTTGAAAAATTTCGACCAAAGTTTGACTGACAAACATTTCTTGATATAAATCGACTTGGGATGGCGTAGAACTACTTATTTGTGAAGAAAGTTTTAGCACAGGGGAATTTTAAAGCGCATTTTGATATAAGAAATTCTAACCCGTCCTGCATTATACTTTGTACTACGCTAACCCGCTACCCGGATTCTAGAGTCAAGTAGGCTGAGTTTCTCTTGAAAAATTTCGACCAAAGTTTGACTGACAAACATTTCTTGATATAAATCGACTTGGAATGGTGTAGAACTACTTATTTGTGCAGAAAGTTTTAGCACAGGGGAATTTTAAAGCGCATTTTGATATAAGAAATGCTAACCCGTCCTGCATTATACTTTGTACTACGCTAACCCGCTACCCGGATTCTAGAGTCAAGTAGGCTGAGTTTCTCTTGAAAAATTTCGACCAAATTTTGACTTACAATGCATTTCTTGATATAAATCGACTTGGGATGGTGTAGAACTACTTATTTGTGCCGAAAGTTTTAGCACAGGGGAATTTTAAAGCGCATTTTGATATAAGAAATGCTAACCCGTCCTGCATTATACTTTGTACTACGCTAACCCGCTACCCGGATTCTAGAGTCAAGTAGGCTGAGTTTCTCTTGAAAAATTTCGACCAAATTTTGACTTACAATGCATTTCTTGATATAAATGGACTTGGGATGGTGTAGAACTACTTATTTGTGCAGAAAGTTTTAGCACAGGGGAATTTTAAAGCGCATTTTGATATACGAAATTCTAACCCGTCCTGCATTATACTTTGTACTACGCTAACCCGCTACCCGGATTCTAGAGTCAAGTAGGCTGAGTTTCTCTTGAAAAATTTCGACCAAATTTTGACTTACAATGCATTTCTTGATATAAATCGACTTGGGATGGTGTACAACTACTTATTTGTGCAGAAAGTTTTAGCACAGGGGAATTTTAAAGCGCATTTTGATATAAGAAATGCTAACCCGTCCTGCATTATACTTTGTACTACGCTAACCCGCTACCCGGATTCTAAAATCAAGTAGGCTGAGTTTCTCTTGAAAAATTTCGACCAAATTTTGACTTACAATGCATTTCTTGATATAAATGGACTTGGGATGGTGTAGAACTACTTATTTGTGCAGAAAGTTTTAGCACAGGGGAATTTTAAAGCGCATTTTGATATAAGAAATGCTAACCCGTCCTGCATTATACTTTGTACTACGCTAACCCGCTACCCGGATTGTAGAGTCAAGTAGGCTGAGTTTCTCTTGAAAAATTTCGACGAAATTTTGACTTACAATACATTTCTTGATATAAATCGACTTGGGATGGTGTAGAACTACTTATTTGTGCAGAAAGTTTTAGCACAGGGGAATTTTAAAGCGCATTTTGATATAAGAAATGCTAACCCGTCCTTTATTATACTTTGTACTACGCTAACCCGCTACCCGGATTCTAGAGTCAAGTAGGCTGCGTTTCTCTTGAAAATTTTCGACCAAAGTTTGAGTTACAAACATTTTTTACTTAAATCGACTTGGGATGGTGTACAACTACTTATTTCTGCAGAAATTTTTGGCACAGGGAAATTTTAAAGCGCATTTTAACATAAGAAATGCTAACCCGTCCTTTATTATATTTTGTACTACGCTAACCCGCTACCCGGATTCTTGATCGATTCAACTAGATACTAGAAGTTCCTATAGCAAGACAAGTGCTACCTTTATAAACCAGAGTCAGACTTAGAAAATTTCGTGCAAATCGAAAAAATTTTTTGATCTAAATCGACTTACAAAAGTTCAAAATGCATATTGATGCGGAAAGTTTGGGAATAGGGGAATTTTAAAGCGCATTTTAATATAACAAATGCTTAGCCGTGTTTTAACACACTTTCTACTACGCTTAGCCATTCGCCGGCTTCGTAATCGAATCAACTATTAACTAAATTCTTTTGAAATTAAACAATATAGAATGATTAGCTTAATCTCTTCGGGCTAGGTTCAACATGGCAATATTTCCTTATACTTGTAAACGGATTTTGCAAATAGAGGTATAAAATGAATAAAAAATAGCTAGAATAAATAAAGGGAAAAAATATTGTGAGTCCGCTATAAAACACGAGTTCAACTGGATTTGAACTCAAATGTTTATCGAGACAGGCCAAACGACCTACCATTAAGCCATCAGTGGACGATCTGAAATTCTTGCAAAATTAAAAACAAAAGTAGATTGTTGTGACCTGCTCATAAACCAAAGTCAGACTTTGAAAATTTCGGGGAAATCGAAAAATAATTTTCGATCTAGATCGACTTAGAAAGTTTCAAAACGCATATTGATGCTGAAAGTTTTGGCACATGGAAGTTTTAAAGCGCATTTTGATATAAGAATTGCTAATCCGTCCTTCATTATTCTTTGTACTACGCTAACCCGCTACCCAGATTCTTGACTCAACTAAGCAGAGCTTGTCTTAGAAAATTTCAACCAAAGTTTAACTCAGAAAATTTCGGGCAAATCGAAAAAAAAATTTCGTCATAAATCGACTAAGAAAGGTTCAAAACGCATATTGATGGGAAAGTTTCGGCATAGGGGAATTTTAAAGCGCATTTTGATATAAGAAATGGTAACCCGTCCTGCGATATACTTCGTACTACGCTAACCCGCTACCCGGATTCTAGAGTCAAGTAGGCTGAGTTTCTCTTGAAAAATTTCGACCAAAGTTTGACTGACAAACATTTCTTGATATAAATCGACTTGGGATGGTGTAGAACTACTTATTTGTGAAGAAAGTTTTAGCACAGGGGAATTTTAAAGCGCATTTTGATATAAGAAATGCTAACCCGTCCTGCATTATACTTTGTACTACGCTAACCCGCTACCCGGATTCTAGAGTCAAGTAGGCTGAGTTTCTCTTGAAAAATTTCGACCAAATTTTGACTTACAATGCATTTCTTGATATAAATCGACTTGGGATGGTGTAGAACTACTTATTTGTGCAGAAAGTTTTAGCACAGGGGAATTTTAAAGCGCATTTTGATAAGAAATGCTAACCCGTCCTGCATTATACTTTGTACTACGCTAACCCGCTACCCGGATTCTAGATCAAGTAGGCTGAGTTTCTCTTGAAAAATTTCGACCAAATTTTGACTTACAATGCATTTCTTGATATAAATGGACTTGGGATGGTGTAGAACTACTTATTTGTGCAGAAAGTTTTAGCACAGGGGAATTTTAAAGCGCATTTTGATATAAGAAATTCTAACCCGTCCTGCATTATACTTTGTACTACGCTAACCCGCTACCCGGATTCTAGAGTCAAGTAGGCTGAGTTTCTCTTGAAAAATTTCGACGAAATTTTGACTTACAATGCATTTCTTGATATAAATCGACTTGGGATGGTGTAGAACTACTTATTTGTGCAGAAAGTTTTAGCACAGGGGAATTTTAAAGCGCATTTTGATATAAGAAATGCTAACCCGTCCTTTATTATACTTTGTACTACGCTAACCCGCTACCCGGATTCTAGAGTCAAGTAGGCTGCGTTTCTCTTGAAAATTTTCGACCAAAGTTTGAGTTACAAACATTTTTTACTTAAATCGACTTGGGATGGTGTACAACTACTTATTTGTGCAGAAATTTTTGGCACAGGGAAATTTTAAAGCGCATTTTAACATAAGAAATGCTAACCCGTCCTTTATTATATTTTGTACTACGCTAACCCGCTACCCGGATTCTTGATCGATTCAACTAGATACTAGAAGTTCCTATAGCAAGACAAGTGCTACCTTTATAAACCAGAGTCAGACTTAGAAAATTTCGTGCAAATCGAAAAAATTTTTTGATCTAAATCGACTTACAAAAGTTCAAAATGCATATTGATGCGGAAAGTTTGGGAATAGGGGAATTTTAAAGCGCATTTTAATATAACAAATGCTTAGCCGTGTTTTAACACACTTTCTACTACGCTTAGCCATTCGCCGGCTTCGTAATCGAATCAACTATAAACTAAATTCTTTTGAAATTAAACAATATAGAATGATTAGCTTAATCTCTTCGGGCTAGGTTCAACATGGCAATATTTCCTTATACTTGTAAACGGATTTTTCACATAGAGGTATAAAATGAATAAAAAATAGCTAGAATAAATAAAGGGAAAAAATATTGTGAGTCCGCTATAAAACACGAGTTCAACTGGATTTGAACTCAAATGTTTATCGAGACAGGCCAAACGACCTACCATTAAGCCATCAGTGGTCGATCTGAAATTCTTGCAAAATTGAAAACAAAAGTAGATTGTTGTGACCTGCTCATAAACCAAAGTCAGACTTTGAAAATTTCGGGGAAATCGAAAAATAATTTTCGATCTAGATCGACTTAGAAAGTTTCAAAACGCATATTGATGCTAAAAGTTTTGGCACATGGAAGTTTTAAAGCGCATTTTGATATAAGAATTGCTAATCCGTCCTTCATTAGTCTTTGTACTACGCTAACCCGCTACCCAGATTCTTGACTCAACTAAGCAGAGCTTGTCTTAGAAAATTTCAACCAAAGTTTAACTCAGAAAATTTCGGGCAAATCGAAAAAAAAATTTCGTCATAAATCGACTAAGAAAGGTTCAAAACGCATATTGATGGGAAAGTTTCGGCATAGGGGAATTTTAAAGCGCATTTTGATATAAGAAATGGTAACCCGTCCTGAGATATACTTCGTACTACGCTAACCCGCTACCCGGATTCTAGAGTCAAGTAGGCTGAGTTTCTCTTGAAAAATTTCGACCAAAGTTTGACTGACAAACATTTCTTGATATAAATCGACTTGGGATGGTGTAGAACTACTTATTTGTGCAGAAAGTTTTAGCACAGGGGAATTTTAAAGCGCATTTTGATATAAGAAATGCTAACCCGTCCTGCATTATACTTTGTACTACGCTAACCCGCTACCCGGATTCTAGAGTCAAGTAGGCTGAGTTTCTCTTGAAAAATGTCGACGAAATTTTGACTTACAATGCATTTCTTGATATAAATCGACTTGGAATGGTGTAGAACTACTTATTTGTGCAGAAAGTTTTAGCACAGGGGAATTTTAAAGCGCATTTTGATATAAGAAATGCTAACCCGTCCTGCATTATACTTTGTACTACGCTAACCCGCTACCCGGATTCTAGAGTCAAGTAGGCTGCGTTTCTCTTGAAAATTTTCGACCAAGGTTTGAGTTACAAACATTTTTTTATTTAAATCGACTTGGGATGGTGTACAACTACTTATTTGTGCAGAAATTTTTGGCACAGGGAAATTTTAAAGCCCATTTTGACATAAGAAATGCTAACCCGTCCTTTATTATATTTTGTACTACGCTAACCCGCTACCCGGATTCTTGATCGATTCAACTAGATACTAGAAGTTCCTATAGCAAGACAAGTGCTACCTTTATAAACCAGAGTCAGACTTAGAAAATTTCGTGCAAATCGAAAAAATTTTTTGATCTAAATCGACTTACAAAAGTTCAAAATGCATATTGATGCGGAAAGTTTGGGAATAGGGGAATTTTAAAGCGCATTTTAATATAACAAATGCTTAGCCGTGTTTTAACACACTTTCTACTACGCTTAGCCATTCGCCGGCTTCGTAATCGAATCAACTATAAACTAAATTCTTTTGAAATTAAACAATATAGAATGATTAGCTTAATCTCTTCGGGCTAGGTTCAACATGGCAATATTTCCTTATACTTGTAAACGGATTTTGCACATAGAGGTATAAAATGAATAAAAAATAGCTAGAATAAATAAAGGGAAAAAATATTGTGAGTCCGCTATAAAACACGAGTTCAACTGGATTTGAACTCAAATGTTTATCGAGACAGGCCAAACGACCTACCACTAAGCCATCAGTGGACGACCTGAAATTCTTGCAAAATTAAAAACAAAAGTAGATTGTTGTGACCTGCTCATAAACCAAAGTCAGACGTCAGACTCAGAAAATTTCGGAGAAATCGAAAAAAATTTTCAATCTAAATCGACTTACAATGATTCAAAATGCATATTGATGCGGAAAGTTTCGGTATAGGGGAATTTTAAAGCGCACTTTGATATAAGAAATGCTAACCCGTCCTTCATTATACTTTGTAATATGCTAACCCGCCACCCACATTCTTGAGTCAACTAGGCTGAGTTTCATTTGGAAAATTTCCACCAAAGTTTGACTTACAAACATTTTTTGATATAAATCGACTTAAGAAGGGTCAGAACTGCCTATTGGTGCACAAAGTTTTGGCACAGGGCAATTTCAAAGGGCATTTTGATATAAGAAATGCTAACCCGTCCTTCATTATACTTTGTAATATGCTAACCCGCCACCCGCATTTTTGAGTCAACTAGGCTGAGTTTGATTTGGAATATTTCCACCAAAGTTTGACTTACAAACATTTTTTGATATAAATCGACTTAGGAAGGGTCAGAACTGCCTATTGGTGCAGAAAGTTTTGGCACAGGGGAATTTCAAAGCGCATTTTGATATAAGAAATGCTAACCCGTCCTTCATTATACTTTGTAATATGCTAACCCGCCACCCGCATTCTTGAGTCAACTAGGCTGAGTTTCATTTGGAAAATTTCCACCAAAGTTTGACTTACAAACATTTTTTGATATAAATCGACTTAGGAAGGGTCAGAACTGCCTATTGGTGCAGAAAGTTTTGGCACAGGGGAATTTCAAAGCGCATTTTGATATAAGAAATGCTAACCCGTCCTTCATTATACTTTGTAATATGCTAACCCCCATCCGCATTTTTGAGTCAACTAGGCTGAGTTTCATTTGGAATATTTCCAAAAAAGTATGACTTACAAACATTTATTGATATAAACAAACTTTGACTTACAAACATTTTTTGATATAAATCGACTTAGGAAGGGTCAGAACTGCCTATTGGTGCAGAAAGTTTTGGCACAGGGGAATTTCAAAGCGCATTTTGATATAAGAAATGCTAACCCGTCCTTTATTATACTTTGTAATATGCTAACCCGCCACCCACATTCTTGAGTCAACTAGGCTGTGTTTCATTTGGAATATTTCCACCAAAGTTTGACTTACAAACATTTTTTGATATAAATCGACTTAGGAAGGGTCAGAACTGCCTATTGGTGCAGAAAGTTTTGGCACAGGGGAATTTCAAAGCGCATTTTGATATAAGAAATGCTAACCCGTCCTTTATTATACTTTGTACTACGCTAACCCGCTACCCGGATTCTTGATCGAATCAACTATAAACTAGAAGTTCCTATCGCAAGACAAGTGCTGCCTTTATAAACCAGAGTCAGACTTAGAAAATTTCGGGCAAATCGAAAAAAATTTTTCGATCTAAATCGACTTACAAAGATTTAAAATGCATACTGATGCGGAAAGTATCGCTATAGGGGAATTTTAAAGCGCATTTTGATAGAAGAAATGCTTAGCCGTTTTTTAATATCCTTTCTACTACGCTTAACGGTTCCCCGGCTTCTTGATCGAATCAACTATAAACTAAATTCTTGTGAAAAGAAATTAAACAATATAGAATGATTAGGTTAATCTCTTCGGGCTAGTTTCAACATGGCAATATTTTCCTATACTTGTAAACAGATTTTGCACATAGAGGTATAAAACCAACAAAAAAAGCAGCAAAATATAAAGGAAAAAATATTGTGAGTCCGCTACAAAACACGAGTCCAACTGGATTTGAACTCAAATGTTTATCGAGACAGGCCAAACGACCTCCCACGAAGCCATAAGTTCGAGACAGGCCAAACGACCTACCACGAAGCCATAAGTGCACGACCTGAAATCCTTGCAAAATTAAAAACAAAAGTACATTGTTGTGAACTGCTCATAAACCAAAGTCAGACGTCAGACTTAGAAAATTTCGGCCAAATCGAAAAAAAATTTCAATCTAAATCGACTTACAATGATTCAAAATGCATATTGATGCGGAAAGTTTCGGTATAGGGGAATTTTAAAGCGCAATTTGATATAAGAAATGCTAACACGTCCTTCATTATACTTTGTAATATGCTAACCCGCCACCCACATTCTTGAGTCAACTAGGCTGAGTTTCATTTGGAAAATTTCCACCAAAGTTTGACTTACAAACATTTTTTGATATAAATCGACTTAGGAAGGGTCACAACTGCCTATTGGTGCAGAACGTCTTGGCACAGGGGAATTTCAAAGCGCATTTTGATATAAGAAATGCTAACCCGTCCTTTATTATACTTTGTACTACGCTAACCCGCTACCCGGATTCTTGATCGAATCAACTATAAACTAGAAGTTCCTATCGCAAGACAAGTGCTGCCTTTATAAACCAGAGTCAGACTTAGAAAATTTCGGGCAAATCGAAAAACATTTTTCGATCTAAATCGACTTACAAAGATTTAAAATGCATACTGATGCGGAAAGTATCGCTATAGGGGAATTTTAAAGCGCATTTTGATAGAAGAAATGCTTAGCCGTTTTTTAATATCCTTTCTACTAAGCTTAACGGTTCCCCGGCTTCTTGATCGAATCAACTATAAACTAAATTCTTGTGAAAAGAAATTAAACAATATAGAATGATTAGGTTAATCTCTTCGAGCTAGTTTCAACATGGCAATATTTTCCTATACTTGTAAACAGATTTTGCACATAGAGGTATAAAACCAAGAAAAAAAAGCAGCAAAATATAAAGGAAAAAAATATTGTGAGTCCGCTACAAAACACGAGTCCAACTGGATTTGAACTCAAATGTTTATCGAGACAGACCAAACGACCTACCACGAAGCCATAAGTGCACGACCTGAAATCCTTGCAAAATTAAAAACAAAAGTACATTGTTGTGAACTGCTCATAAACCAAAGTCGGACGTCAGACTTAGAAAATTTCGGCCAAATCGAAAAAAAATTTCAATCTAAATCGACTTACAATGATTCAAAATGCATATTGATGCGGAAAGTTTCGGTATAGGGGAATTTTAAAGCGCAATTTGATATAAGAAATGCTAACCCGTCCTTCATTATACTTTGTAATATGCTAACCCGCCACCCACATTCTTGAGTCAACTAGGCTGAGTTTCATTTGGAAAATTTCCACCAAAGTTTGACTTACAAACATTTTTTGATATAAATCGACTTAGGAAGGGTCACAACTGCCTATTGGTGCAGAACGTCTTGGCACAGGGGAATTTCAAAGCGCATTTTGATATAAGAAATGCTAACCCGTCCTTCATTATACTTTGTAATATGCTAACCCGCCATCCGCATTTTTGAGTCAACTAGGCTGAGTTTCATCTGGAATATTTCCACCAAAGTTTGACTTACAAACATTTTTGATATAAATCGACTTAGGAAATGTCAGAACTGCCTATTGGCGCAGAAAGTTTTGGCACAGGGGAATTTCAAAGCGCATTTTGATATAAGAAATGCTAACCCGTCCTTTATTATACTTTGTAATATGCTAACCCGCCACCCACATTCTTGAGTCAACTAGGCTGAGTTTCATTTGGAAAATTTCCACCAAAGTTTGACTTACAAACATTTTTTTATATAAATCGACTTAGGAAGGGTCAGAACTGCCTATTGGTGCAGAAAGTTTTGGCACAGGGGAATTTCAAAGCGCATTTTGATATAAGAAATGCTAACCCGTCCTTCATTATACTTTGTAATATGCTAACCCGCCACCCGCATTTTTGAGTCAACTAGGCTGAGTTTCATTTGGAATATTTCCACCAAAGTTTGACTTAGAAACATTTTTTGATATAAATCGACTTAAGAAGGGTCAGAACTGCCTATTGGTGCACAAAGTTTTGGCACAGGGCAATTTCAAAGGGCATTTTGATATAAGAAATGCTAACCCGTCCTTCATTATACTTTGTAATATGCTAACCCGCCACCCGCATTTTTGAGTCAACTAGGCTGAGTTTGATTTGGAATATTTCCACCAAAGTTTGACTTACAAACATTTTTTGATATAAATCGACTTAGGAAGGGTCAGAACTGCCTATTGGTGCAGAAAGTTTTGGCACAGGGGAATTTCAAAGCGCATTTTGATATAAGAAATGCTAACCCGTCCTTTATTATACTTTGTAAGATGCTAACCCGCCACCCACATTCTTGAGTCAACTAGGCTGAGTTTCATTTGGAAAATTTCCACCAAAGTTTGACTTACAAACATTTTTTGATATAAATCGACTTAGGAAGGGTCAGAACTGCCTATTGGTGCAGAAAGATTTGACACAGGAGAATTTCAAAGCCCATTTTAAGATAAGAAATGCTAACCCGTCCTTTATTATACTTTGTACTACGCTAACCCGCTACCCGGATTCTTGATCGAATCAACTATAAACTAGAAGTTCCTATCGCAAGACAAGTGCCGCCTTTATAAACCAGAGTCGGACTTAGAAAATTTCGGCCAAATCGAAAAAAATTTTTCGAACTAAATCGACTTACAAAGATTCAAAATGCATATTGATGCGGAAAGTATCGCTATAGGGGAATTTTAAAGCGCATTTTAATAGAAGAAATGCTTAGCAGTTTTTTAATATCCTTTCTACAACGCTTAACGGTTCCCCGGCTTCTTGATCGAATCAACTATAAACTAAATTCTTGTGAAAAGAAATTAAACAATATAGAATGATTAGGTTAATCTCTTCGGGCTAGTTTCAACATGGCAATATTTTCCTATACTTGTAAACAGATTTTGCACATAGAGGTATAAAACCAAGAAAAAAAAGCAGCAAAATATAAAGGAAAAAAATATTGTGAGTCCGCTACAAAACACGAGTCCAACTGGATTTGAACTCAAATGTTTATCGAGACAGGCCAAACGACCTACCACGAAGCCATATCAGTGCACGACCTGAAATCCTTGCGAAATTAAAAACAAAAGTACATTGTTGTGACCTGCTCATAAACCAAAGTCAGACGTCAGACTCAGAAAATTTCGGAGAAATCGAAA